CTAGATCCTAAACCCCCCAAACCCCACACCTAAACCCCTACACCCCTCAACCACAAAAGACTGGCGAGCTAGGTTTGGAGTTCAGCTAGCAGACGAAAAGACAGCTTGCCTCTCTGACTTTAACCCTAAACCCCTAAACCCCTAAACCCCGAAAACCCTAGACCCCTAAACACCTAGACCCCTAGATCCTAAACCCCCCAAACCCCACACCTAAACCCCTACACCCCTGAACCCTAACCCCCCAGGCCTAGACATAAGCCAACATGTCTGTCAGGAGCCAGCTGCAGGCTTGCTGGCCGCAGAACCCGGACTGGCTGCCATGCCCCCGGCACCTGCCCCTACACCTGGATTGTTCCCGGAACAGAAAGCTGATCCATCAGTCACCATCCCTCCTGACAACACCGCCGTGCCTGCAGTCCTGCTCCAGCCCGGGAAGCCCTGCGAATCCCAGCCGCCTGCTGCGGAGATGCTTGCAAAGGCTAGCCCCGCCCCTGCTGCCGTGATCCCTCCAAAGGCCAGCCCCGCCCCTGCCGAGATCCCTCCAAAGGCCAGCCCCGCCCCTGCTGCCGTGATCCCTCCAAAGGCGAGCCCCGCCCCTGCCGAGATCCCTCCAAAGGCCAGCCCCGCCCCTGCTGCCGTGATCCCTCCAAAGGCCAGCCCCGTTCCTGAGGATCCCCAAGCTAAGGCCGAGTCTGCTCAGGGTGCTGCAGGTGCGGCTTCGCAGGCTGCCCGCCCGAAGCCTGAGCCGAAGGCAGGATCGCGAGGGTTTTGTTTTTTTGGCTTGGAGTCTTAACATAGGGGGGCTTAGTGTTGGGGGGGGGAGGGGGGGGGGGTGGGGTTGCCGAGTTTGCACAACATATACCCAAGAAAGGTTTCGGTGTACAGAGCAGTGCTAGTGCTTCTTCAGGCTTCAGTTCTCTTTGCTTCCAGGGGGGGCTTCGGCCGTGCCGAGGAGCTTGGCCGATGCTGATGTCTTACCTTAGCACTAGATTGTGAGGGTTAGGAGTTAAGACTTTGCTAGGACTCTGGAGACAAATGCTGCTGAGGTCTTTCATGCTGATCTGCGCTTTCGCTCGGGCTTTGTACTATGTAGGTTTCTGGGGCTTTCGAAACTGTAAACCACTAACCCCTAAGCCCTTAGACCCTAGACCCCTAAACCCCTAAACCCCTACACCCCTAAACCCTGAACCCTGAACCCTAAACCCCTGAGCCCTCAGCCCTCTTAATTAAAACCCTAGACCCTAAACCCCTAAGCCCCTAAACCCTGAACCCTAAACCCTAAACCCCTGAACCCTAAGCCCTAGACCCTAATTAAACCCCTAGACCCTAAACCCCGAAACTGGAGAGGGCAGGTAGTGTGCAGGTTTCTGCTGTAATTGGGTTCTAGAACCTAGGCTTCAGATTCGTAGCTGTCGAAGTCTTTGGTTATGCCACAGTTCCTGGCAGCACTCCGTGGCACGGCAGGTTCCGGAAGTGGAGCTTCCGGAAGTGGAGCTTCCGGACTCGAAGTGAATCCAGGACTGAGTGCTGACATCAGAATTTTGGATGGAGTTTTGCTTTCTGCTGGCCGTCGCCGGTTGTCCGGAGGTCAGTAGATTCGCCTGTGCTGTCCAGAGTTTCAAGATGAGCGACACAGTTCGTACATCCACAGCTGATCCGGAGAGGGCTGGGAAGGACAAGGTGTAAAGGGGAATGGCCTATGCTAGGATACATCTACTGCACTGACCGCCTAGGTGTTTCTTTCTGGTACCTGGATGCATAGTTCCACTAGCCCGTCCGGAGCATGCTGCAATCTCCCTTGCCCCTGACTTGTGCACTGCAACGAAAGCCAGCCACAGCATGAAGAAAGGATGCGACATGCACTGAACAGTCTCGCCTCACACCGCTTGTTGCATAGCTGCATAGCTGTAAGCCTGCCGCCGCCCGAGGCCCTGACGAAGCCATTGCCGAATACCGCAACGGAGCACTTCACCTCGCAGAGAGCTGCTGAGCAACTTGGCTGGAGGACCGCTTTCATGTTGTTGCACAACTTGGGCATGCCCAGGAGTACTGAGCACGATGCGACACAGATTCGCAAGACGAAACACAATTTGCGGCATGTGCAGGCTGGTCAAGAGTCGCGGCTGTGGTATACACACATTGTCGCGACTGCCCCTGTGTGCAGGTGATGATCAGAGCCCTGAACACCAACTTGAAGTCCACCACTGGTCGCATGCTCGACTTCTTTGTTCCAGACCAGCTGGACCGAATGGAGTTCAGTGCCGATGCGATTCCGCTGTCTCCGGCACTTGCAAAGGAGAGGCCTCTCCTCAAGGGTGTGTCTTAGTTGAGTTCGCATCATGTGTTTCATGTTTTACTTTGCGAGAGCCTACACGATCTCGCTTTGTGTGACAAGCACACCCTTGTTTTCGTCTCGTCTTAAAGTCTTAGGACCTGCGACCCTCTCTTCACTCCCACCCCGTCCCTCCCCCTCTCATCTCCCCGGCTCCCCCCTCCCCCCCTCCCTCCCACCAGCACGAGAAACAAAGCATGACTGAGGTGGCCGACCAAGAAAAGGTCGGAGTCAAGGCCTACAAGCTCCTGGCAACGACCTTACGATGTTTCTTCGAACCGGACGCCTGTCACCCGTCCTGGAATGATTGCAGTGTCTTGGCAGCAGTGATTGTGTCTCGACACAGCATTCTGCAGTAATGCTTGCTCTGTCTTTTTCTCATGGTGGTCCAATCCTAGGAAATAGCTTCGTCCGGGCGGGACACTCGATAACCATGCTCAAGGCTACGATCTTGAGTGCCGTCGCACACGGCCCGTGAGCACCCTAGTCACGGTCGCGGCTTTGTGTGCTGATGTGTGGCGGCCGCAGACATGCTTCATCAGGTACCAATCGGGCAGCAACTGGTTTTCCAAGCAAGAGGTGGTGCAGCAGTACATCAGCCGATACCGTGATGATCATGCGAAGTGGGAGGAACTAGCAGACTTGATGTGGCAGGACCTAGGCTACCATGTGGAACCGGACTCAGTGCCTGATTCCCTGGAAGCATGGGCCGATCACGATGCCGTCACCAAGCGGGGGTTGTACGTGTCTCTGGCTACATGTTTCAGCTCGCTAGGTTTTGCATCATACGGATAGACTAGATAACCGCTGCTTCATCCAGCTTCGACTTCTCGATCTCTGCAGCTAAGATCAGAGCCAAAGGCTGGTTTGCTCTCACCGAGCGATGTACCTCCTTGGCCCGCGAGTGGACCATATCAGCTGAAATCATGGCAGCACTTTCTGCAGCGACTCCATAGAATTCAGTGGTTCTCAACAGATGGGGTCGTGCTGACTGGCGGCTGATAAGATGTAACGATTGTTTCTTTCCATACAGCGAATAGGATGTTAGTTTCGAGCTTGTCGTAGTGGCCCCGAACAGTGGCTTGTGTTTCTACAAAGATCGATAGCCGCAGAATAAAAAGTGAAACGAGCTGCCAAGGATCAGAAGGATGGCGACATGGAGGTGGACAACCCACAGCCAGAGGAAGAGGAAGATGCTGAGGAACCTAGCACCAGAAAAGAATTCCAGGCTTGGCGATCGAGATTCCGCAACAACGTTCACGTGAGTGCTACATTGTACCAAGACAGGTCACTTGCCTACTTTCCATCGCCAGAAACCTCACACCTATTCCCCTATCCTCTGATTCTGTGCTCCTTGTCAGCCAAGGCGCCTGCAGTGTCGCATCAGAATGCTGGCCTTGTGCAGCAAGCCCGTTTCCCAGGAGTACTTCCACACTCTGGAGAAACAGAAGGAAGGGCAGGCCGTGCATGTTGACCCATTCCGCTAAACCACGAAAACCCAGACCCTAGAACCAATAAACACCACAAAAAAAAACAAAGCCCTAAGAGCTTAGCCACCCCCCATGCCCCAAGCCCTAAAGATAAGAAGGCCGGTAAAGTAGGCAGTCTAGGCTGCACAGTTGGAGTGGGCTGCTAACAGAAGCTCCGGAAGCTGGTTCGTCACCGTGCACAAGACCTTGAACCTGATTCACTCTGTCAGCTTTCTCCAAGAGCTCCCCGTGTCTTCGTGGAATGGTTCACGGTCGGTAGCAGCTGATGAGGCATGGGTGCAGCAGGAGTCGGGTTTACTCAACGAGGCCTGGCAGCTGCTGGTGGAGCTGGCATCTGCCAGGACTGTACCTTGTCATTTTTGTTTCGTTCGTTTATCTCTTTATGGTATTGATATCAGTTCTGCTGCTGTCGGTGACAGTGATCGTGTCTCTAGTATCAACACTCCTCCTGCAGCTAGCATAAAACATTCTCAGCACGGCATGGGCCGATGCTACACAGGACATGGTCACAGGCTATGTTCTCCTACGTACCGCCCCACATGCTAGCAAGTGTCTTCGGGAAGCCAGCCGACCGGAACTGGAGCTTGGATCTCTTTCGCAATCTCGACAGGGGCCTCCAGGTAGCAGTCCGCCTGGTCAAGGACTCCCCTGACAGCACTGTGGGGGCAGAGGTCCGGGCTCTGCTCAGGGACGCCTGGTGGCACGAAACGCCACTGGGGTTGGAACTCATCCAAGTTTGTCGAGGCTCCGGCTTTACAGCTACTGATCGAGAGTTGCGGTCGGCATGCTTCTCCATGTTCGGGGGGCCGAGCAATACAAAGTACACGGCGGAAGATTGCTTTAGCCATCTTGCCGACATCACCAGCCGGAGCCAGAAAGGCTGTATGCGCATGTCAAAGCACTCTCTGCTGCAATCTAAGTTACAAGCTTTCCTTTGTCAGAATCCAGACGATGCAACCCTAATTACTGTTGCCTCTTGCGTATAAACCCCTAAACCCTAAACCCCAAACCCTAAACCCTAGACCCTGAACCCTAAACCCTAAACCTTAAACCCTAAACCCTAACCCCGAAATCCTAAACTTCATGGATCAAGGTGGTCCAAGTTCTTTTACTGCACGACATGCCAGTCGTCACGGCACAACGGCTACAAGCATATCGACTGTGAGGCGTCGGATTACATGGAGTACAAAGCCGACCGAAGTGACAGGTCCGGACTCTACTTTGGTGCCTCCGTGCCTCCTCCGGACAAGCTGGAGCTCAGCAGTCTCCTGCAGGCTAGGGCTCTGCAGGGCATGCTTTCTTTTGTTTCGTTGTTTTTTGAATACAAATGATACCCTGGACCAAGCCCACACTCTAAGCCCTTAGGTCAAGGACAAGTGGGGTGTTGCTGGAACCCTGGCTGATATGCGGATGTGTGCGGCTACATGGACTATTGCACAGTGCTACCAAGAAGAATTCTCGCGAACACCCGATTTCTGGACAGGCTAGTGGATACAAATACTAACCTGTAGTCCTGAGAATACCCGCCCTCTGAAACCTTCTGAGCCTAAACTGCTGTATTCTCAAACAACCCGGATGTTCAGCTTAATTGGTGACATCTCAGGGATTAGGGGTCAGGAGTTTGAGGGTCTTGAGTTCGCCTGAAGCTAGCCGCCCTTCTGCAAGGCGTCTTTATGCCGAAAGGGCTGGCGGTGATGCAAGACGATGGCACTGCCGCCCTAAGCTTGGGATTCCAGAAATACTGTGCTATGGCCATGCCGCTAGAATGCCATCCCGGTGAGTCGCCTGATGAATGCTATTTTTCAATTCCAGCCCTGGCCCCGCACAGGCCAACCTGGCTCTACAACACCACAGCAGACATCACCGATGAGCACCTCAAGGGCTGCTCCGTCGAAGTCCTGGCCCCCGCCCTCGTGCCTCGTCGTCTGCGGAAGCACGGCTGCATCCTCAAGAGCCTCTCGTCACCTGAGCCGATTGTGAAGGCATCGTTGAGATTTGGCGTTTTCCTGAACGTGCCAACGATCATCAAAGTGTCACGAGTCAATGGTGCCGCCCCTCCGATCGGTACAGGGCCAAAGAACAAGAGTGGGAATCGATCAGTTCTTAAGGCTGATCGTGTGGCTGCACTGTTGGCCAAAGTCTTTCCGGATCTTGACAAGGACAGCTCTGAGTACATTCGCATCCACACAAGCCTTGTCGGCAAGGGTCCTCTGCTTCGTGTCAACGAGAACATCGCCGATGAGGTGCTGGAGGGCATAAAGATTCTCGATCCTGAGAATGCTGAGAAGTTCAGTGGATTGAGGCAAGTGGCTGAAAAGGTCGAGCTTGAAAAAAAGGTTCGACAGGAGATGCAGCGATCGGAGGAGGCTGCTGGACGAGGACAGATCCACCGAACCATTGCAGAGTAAGTCACCGTTCTGTCTAGCTGCTAAACTAAACTAATACCTGAACCCCGGCCTGCAGATGATCACTCCATCCGGGACCCCACAGGACCCAGTCAACAGCAGAACCTGCCCAAGTCCCACTTCACACCCAAAGCTTTGATGCTCGGCACCAGACCAAGATTCGTCACACTCAGTGTTTTACTACTTTTTTCGATCAGGGTTTTATGCTATGCTTGATGTTCTTTTGGGTCCCAGGAATATAAACCTTTGACACCAGGCTTGGTCTCCTACCGGGAGCTGGCCGAATCCCCGAGGTCTACATACAGAGGAACCCAGCGAATACTACCTTCCAGGCTTTCTATCCAGGTGACTTGGCTGTCGTTACCACATCTTACAAATGCCAAGACTTCAATAATAGGATCCTTGAGGGAGGGGGGGGGCAAGGGAAGTAGTCCATAACCCAGTACTACCATCCAGTCCTAACCCGAAAGCCGTGCCATTCATTCAACTAAGTCGACAAAGCGGCTGGGCTGGGACCTGGCAGCCGTTCCTGCAAGTGGGGCGGGATACAGCGCATGCTGACAGAGCATGAGGCATTGTGGGACGTCCTGTCTCGGGTGTGGGACTTGCATTTCTCGTACGGGAAGCTGGTGCAGCCGGGAGATGCAAGGCTGGTGGCAGAAACTGTGTGTGACCCCTCAATCGGTAAGTGCCCACCCTGTTTATTTGTTTCGAACAGGCCGACACGTCAAGCAGTCAATGCAGTGGTGGACGAAATCCAAAGGCATGAAGCATTGCCACCAGAGGACAGAGGCACCGGAGGTGCCAGCAGCAGCAATGCCGGTCCTGCGCCAAAGGCGCCAGAGCCGGCAGCACCAGCATCGAGCCATGCTTCCAGTCCAGCTCCAAAGGAGAAGGGCAGGGGCAGGGGCAGGGGCAGGGCACGTGCTGCAAAAGCCGCACGAGACAATCGCTCCTGATCGACTTTCGGGCGCCAAAATAGCATCCCAGATTTCCTGCAGCCCCAACTCCTATAGCCTTCTGTATCTCAAACTAGGCAAGCATTGACTCCTTTGTTATATCCTTTATGTCCTATGTATCCCAAACTAACCCAAAGAATAAACCCAAGGATAAACCTAGGATTCCTATCCTTGCTTTGAAGGATACTCTCAGGATAAGCCAACCTTTGTTTATCATGATGTTATCCCTATGTTATCCCAAATGAATAGGATAACCCACGGATAACCTTCTATCCTAAGCTTATCCTAGGACTATCCTACAGGTATCCTGGGACTATCCATACTTAGACTATCCCCAACAAAATGGATAAACAAAGGGCCCCCCCCCCCGGGGGCCCGCCCCCAACTCCATGACTGTTCTTCTCATTATCAGTTACTGTTATTAACATTCTTATTTTAAAGTACTGCAGGACTTGTTGTTATTAGTAGTTATTGGTTTAATTCTTACTCTTCATTTTATGTGAATTATGCAACTTGTCATTATAATTTCCCGAAGCGCAACACAGTCTGTGGGGATTTCCCAAACAGTGCGGTTTCTAGGTCCTTCCCAGACGCGAAAGCTTAAGCCACCGATATCCTGAACCCCAAGCTCGATGAATAGGTCGAGGTTTAGGGTTTAGGGTTCTACATCCGAAGCACCCGCCAGATCCCTACCCTCAAGACCGCCAGGAGCACCCTCAAACCCCAGATAAACAGACACGTGCATAGGGCCTCCTAGTGCCGTGAGCGTTTAGGGTTTAGGGGTTTAGGGGTTTAGGGTTAGGGTTTAGGGTGCTGGGTGAGTGACAGATACTTGACACCCTGAACCCTTAACCCAAACGGACACCGCAAGCA